TATAAGAATAGCTGATTAAGATATATTTTAGGTTTAATATAAGAATAGACTGATTAAGATATATTTTAGGTTTAATAATATAGAATAGCCGATTAAGATATATTTTAGGTTTAGATAATATAGAATAGCCGATTAAAGATATATTTTAAGTTTAAACAACATAGAATAGCTGATTAAAGATATATTTTAGGTCTAAACTATATAGAATGGCCGATTAAAGATATATTTTAGGTTTAAACAATAGAGAATAGCCGATTATAGATATCTTTTAGGTACCACGTTTAACAATAAAGCGTGGTTCATCATGCATTGAGCACATTTGGAAGAGATTTGACGCTTGTATGACATGGCGTAGGTATGATAATAAACATAGCGAATAATACATGTTTTGTATTCACGGAGAAAGGAACGAACTCACAAATTAACGACAGTAGTTGTGTATTAACAGTGTCGCAGCCTTGGAGATAATTTCAAACTCAAAATAAAAAGTGGGTTTTTACTTTTGCTTCTGCATAAAAGCAATCTCTTTCAAATGCAAATACGATAATGAGGGTATACATATATATGTATATATTCTGTTATATTTATAAATGTACATATATACATATCCACAGCTATCTACAAGAATCTTTGTGTTTGTATACATACATGTGTGTGTGTGTGTCACGTTTTACACTGTAGGTTAATATACCCAGTGCAACCATACATACATGTATTATGTTCATCACTTACAGATAAGGCCTATCAATTGCTTTATGTTAAACATAAATAGCTGTTTCATGTTGTTCAAATCTCCCAGCCGCACCTTTGTGTAATATTAGAATAATGTAACATAGGGTCTCGTTATCCAGCTCCCTTTGTGTATGTACTTCTTATATTAAAGAAGAGTCTGAAGTGCGTGTTAACTCCTTACCTCAGCCACCAAAGGTGGACGGAGGTTATGTTTTCACTCCTGTGTGTGTGTGTGTTTGTCAGGAATATTTCTCGAAAATGGCTGAATGGATTTTGACGAAAGTTGGTATATACATTTGGACTATGATCCAATATAGAAGTGATTAGTTTTTGGAGGTTCAAGGTCACAGCAAGGTCAAGAATATAAAAAACTCTTTCTGTTAACATGGGGACCGATTTGTCACACTATTTTTGCTCTATAACTTAATCAAAATTAATCGAATTTTGATGAAACCTGGTTGAATGTTATCCCTCATTGTTCTGCCAAAAAATGGTCTGTGCAGGTTGGTAACAACGGACATACGGACATATTTTCGTATTTTTTCAGGGCCGAATATGATCAATACTGCGTGGCTGTGGTATGCGCTCTACTGAGTGTCCCTCTAGTTTATATATGTTACGCTCTACTGAGTGTCCCTCTAGTTCATATATCTTGCGCTCTACTGAGTGTCCCTCTAGTTTATATATCTTGCTCTCTACTGAGTGTCCCTCTAGTTTGTATATGTTGGGATCTACTGAGTGTCCCTCTAGTTTGTATATGTTGGGATCTACTGAGTGTCCCTCTAGTTTGTATATGTTGGGCTCTAATGAGTGTCCTCTAGTTTATATATTTTGCGCTCTACTGAGTGTCCCTCTAGATTGTATATGTTGGGCTCTACTGAGTGTCCCTCTAGTTTATATATTTTCCGCTCTACTGAGTGTCCCTCTAGATTGTATATGTTGGGCTCTACTGAGTGTCCCTCTAGTTTGTATGTGTTGGGCTCTACTGAGTGTCCCTCTAGTTTGTATATAAGCTTGCTAAAACTGTATATATTTCCTACAAATAAAATGTAAGGTTAATTTTGAGGTCAAAGTGCATCTCTTATTCCACTTCAAATTTTATCGGTCTAGGAACTTCATTAATGAAGGAACGTACCCATTCATATTGCCTGGGTTTGTGGTTCTAGCTAGGAAGTAACTTATAGCACGTAACCATTCATAACAAAGCATTTTTTAACATCGCACACATATTACGTTAAATGAAAAGTAACTGACAGAATCTAAGCAGCATTGAATTATTAACTTATGAATTTATGAGATTATACATAGTATATAGACAGGTAAGCTAGTACACGTAGTAAACGTATTCCAACATATTGAATATATAATGATATTAAGTTAGACCGAAAATATTATATTTTATTACTGCATTAAAGGCTTTGTATTTATTTCTACAGTAACGTCGCCCAGATACTCATAGTGACTGGAGATTACTTATTTCAGAATGTTTCAAAACGTTTGTTTTTGCAAGTATTATGGAATAATACACCGGTATTGGTTGTTTAATTACGTGAACCAGCGTTGTAATGGTTTCCTGTGGTGTAGATAGAAGATGATAGAATATATTGAGGAACAAAACACCTCGACGACTCTTTGCTAGATACGAAAGCTGTCACTAGGACTCCCTCAGCAAATCAAGATGTTGACATTAACACAGCGGGCGCACACGTGCATGCTAGGAAGCCGTGATATAGGGTTGCCGTAATGGCGGCTGACTGCCCAAGCGGCGGGATCGTCGAAGTTAAGAGCGCGTGAGGACCGTGTAGACGTTCCCAAAGAACGCACGAGAAATCGGATCGCATAGAGTTCGAGTGGAGGTGATAATGCTTTGTTAGGTGGCGCACAGGATTTCGTCCATAATGACAAAAGACAACACATCAAGACTTCGGTGAGTCAACAACAGAACCTAATAAATGTGCCATTATAGCGCACACTGTTGACAGTAGCTGTTACTGATCGTAATAACAGCCACAATACATATACAAATAGCTAACAAATTCTCCCACTATTCCAGAAATGTATTACTTTATCTTATTTACTAGATACCGTCATTATAAGTAATAAAGAGGTGACTAATGAGGATTTCTGCTACATGGGGACAGTTAAGTGTTTGCAAGGGATCGAAACCTGAAGATGTAAGGGGAACCCATTGAAAAATTCATTGAGGTTTGGGTAATCAAAACGCGCATCTTCAGGTCTAGAAACACATGTAAGATAACCATGTGTATACATATAGTAAACTTATGTGTATTACCCTTGAATGGTTTTACTAACATAATCTTCACCTAGTGTAAGCAGAGAAAACACGAGGCAGAAACATATATCACAAACTAACTTCATCATACTTAAGCAGAATGACCCGATTACATCACAATAAAGTAATACCACCATCTTCACGAGAGCATGTTCTATGTAATTGTGGATGTGACGTCTTAAAGTCTGAAAGGAGAGTGTAAATTAGTTCAAAACATAGTATTCTGGGTTTACAAAGAATGTCTGTTTTTCGTGTGTTTTTTTCAAAATAAGTCCCTATTATGACATGTCGACTTAATTTCTACTTCCATAATTCTCGTTAGTTTTTTTATATAAATAATTACGCTTCATTTCATGTTTTTTTTTTCATTTCAAGGAAAGTGACGGAGAGAAGACCAACAATGGTATACATTATCGGCTCCAGTTGCTATACGCCAGTGGTGAGTTTAGTTTCACATGTCTCTAACAAATTTATGTATTATGGAAATTTAAATGCGCTATTTTACTGGAGTTACACGAGTTTGTCGTATGAGTGTAAACTAGAATGCAAACCCCTTCTTCTTCAAATATTTTTGTAATTACAGTTGAGCTTCGACATTTGATATATATGTGTTGGTTTCCATGCAAGAATGGTCACTCTAAACTGAGTGAGAATAGCGGCTTGAATTCTACATAATGTAAGAAAATAAATATTGTATGTCTTTAAATCGCAAAACCTTCGATTTATTCCAAAGAAAGCCAAATAGTTTATATTTGTTATACTTATTGTGTATGTGGTCTTCGAAATTACCACTCTACTAGTTACGTATACTTATTGTGTATGTGGTCTTAGAAATTACCACTATACTAGTTACGTATACTTATTGTGTATGTGGTCTTGGAAATTACCACCGTACTAGTTACGTATACTTATTGTGTATGTGGTCTTGGAAATTACCACTCTACTTGTTACGTATACTTATTGTGTATGTGGTCTTGGAAATTACCACCG